CAGAATTTCCCTTCAGGGGGGGGAGGGGCGCCTTCTCCTGTCTACTCGACTATCATTATTGTTGCTGTATGGCAAATATTGTTGCGTTTTTTTTTTTGTCCCGGCCACCGGCTGCCCCGCAGACAAACCACGAACAAGTTTTCTATACTCCTCCTCGTTTTTCTGGCGGCGTATTCTCCCCCATGCCACCTCTTTCCACATGCTGCCAGCCGGCGACTAGCCGTCTTCTTTTGGTCAAAAAGCCTGCTCGTTTTCGCCAAACTTTATCGCCAAGATGGTGCCGCATTACGCAGATATTTAGCTAACATCATTGCATTTGGTATAACTAAACTAAAAGAAATTTTGGGGGCTGGGAACCTGTGGGGCTCGATTAGTTGCATTGGCCGATATTTTCTTAGTGCTTATTCAGTGCCATTTGGTGAGGCAATATCGAACTCCTTACGCTATCACCTCTGTGCACTTTTATGTTTTTTTGTTTCAGAACCAACAAGAATTTGGTCAGAAGCTACACCTGAAAGATAAGAATGTGTTCATGATGGGCTTCGACGGAAGGCGAGGGTGAAGGGGGAGGGTTCTAGTAACGTGATCTTACCGGCTGTGTAGCTCCACCGGCTGGCTTCCGGCATCGTGCTCTGTGAATTTGATTTGCCACTGCATTGTGTGTAAGTTCAGGCTGTGGTTCTGTTATGTTTTTTTTTTTTGCTCTGTTTGGGCTAGCGGATCGTGTGTTCATAATGTTGATTGATACGTGGGGTTTAACGTCCCAAAACCCCTATATGATTATGAGAGATGCCGTAGTGGAGGGCTCCGGAAATTTAGACCACCTGGGGTTCTTTGACGTGCACCCAAATCTGAGCACACGGGCCTACAACATTTCTGCCTCCATCGGAAATGCAGCCGCCGCCGCCGGGATTCAAACCCGCGTCCTGCGGGTCAGCAGCCGAGTACTTTAGCCACTAGACCACCGCGGCGGGGCGTGTGTTCATAATGTAAATGGAAGGTTATTTCCCTACACAAGTAACGGTGATTTTAACGAGATTTAGTTCAAAAGCTGCCTTCAAGTAACGTTGCCTGCTTGTTGCGAGGGCTACTGGGAATGCCGACACAATTTCGTTTACGGCGGCTTGAGGAACAAATAAAGAATACCACAATAACAGCCGGTAAAAGCTGACCAGCTCAAGTGATTTGTAGTAAGATTGTACTGTGTCACGGAAGACACGTTTAAACTACGCGAAGACAACACAATAGAACATAGGAACACACGCATGAAGCGCTGAATATAAACACACTGATTGCTTCTTGTGTGTGTCTATTTCCATGTTCTAATGTGTGGTTCTCACCCAGATTAAGCGTGCGTGCCGTATCTATAAACCAACTAGCCCAACAATATGCTTCACCTACAACAAGCACCCCCTATGTGTACTTCGTTGCGCAAAAATAGCAGTGTATGTATGACTCATCAATATGCTGATTAACTAGAAATTACATTTCTACTTTTTAATGATAATTTTTATTGTCTTTCAAGTGGCTTGGAAAAATGGATCTCTTTGCAATCACTTCAACCGGTGCCACCGAAGGACTACCGTCATGCAGAGGTGAAGGGCTTGTGCTAAAGCTTTCTGCAAAAGCTGTTTGTATTGGCAAAGGAGTAAGCACATCAAGAAATGTATAAAAGTGAATAGTGTATTCCCCGAGTGAGGTTGTTTGTTGTTTGGTGCAATTACTATATATTGCCTGTGTGGCTTCAAAACACAAGTCGAAAATTTATTTTCTGTGCTTAACTTTCCTCATGTGTATTCACTGCCCATTGCCCATCCACCAACCTCATCCATCATCGACTCTCCACCACCATCCGCTATAAAGTATCTGCTATCGAGTATCCACCCACAAAATAATTCACTAATATGGTGGATGGTGGTTTCAAATATGCCCACCATTTGACTTTTTTATATGCTCTCCTTTGTGCACAGCAACCCTCTGTAATTTATATACTTTTTTCAATTTTCAAGATCCGTTACTATGGAGCTGACGCAGTACTAACTTAGCCAAGACATTCAGTGAAATTTCATCTATTGAAGTTAATAGACTCAATAAATAAATAAAAAAGCTCATAGCTTGGTTTGGAAGGCTTTGACACTTTGATAAATATGGGTGCACGGAATTTACAAACGACTACTTGTGAGCCTGGCACAATGGAACGATTACGTTTCAATACTATCTCGTTTTCTGCTTCCACAGTTGTTCCGAGTAACGTTACAACCATGTGCTTACCGGCACCATCTATTGAAGTTAATAGACTCAATAAATAATATAAAAAAGCTCATAGCTTGGTTTGGAAGCTTTGACACTTTGATAACTATGGGTGCACGGAATTTACAAACTACTTACTTGTGAGCCTGGCACAATGGAACGATTACGTTTCAATACTATCTCGTTTTCTGCTTCCACAGTTGTTCCGAGTAACGTTACAACCATGTGCTTACCGGCACCAACCGGCCATGAATGGTGGTCACTGAAAAGAATTGAAAGGATAAAGAAAGTAACGACATAAGGCACGAATGCATTGAGAGAAGAAATATTTTAAGATTATATCTGCCTAGAATAAAGCAGCCTTTCAGTGAAAGCGCGTTAAATATGATTGCCACAAAGGATGTATACCTTTGAATGGTATAAGAATATCTGAGCCTTCTTCAATGAGGTTACAGGAGACTGTCGAGCTTCTTCGGTGACTTGCGTGCTCGATGTTATCTTGGTTTATCTTCACAAACTCAGATAGATTTTATTGGAGAATTGACACAACTTGCTCTTTGAACATGATGCTTCATGGGCTACCTGTACTGATTACATTCATGAAAGTTTAGGAGGCGGTAATTGCAGCTCCTCCTAAACAATTGAGTCATCTGGGTCGGACTGCAGACAACACCCTTTTATTTTTGAATTATCAGAACAGAGTTGTCCGTGTTGTGACGCTGTCCTTAGTCGAAAACCAAGCACGCGTAGTTGCAACGAATGGAAGGACAGGTTTTGTCATTAAAATTTTAGTGTGCATATGCGTTAATTTGGATTACTTAAAACAGACAAGAATACCCCCCCCCCCCCCCCGCTATCATATAACTGGATCTGTGTATACGAAGCGGTCTTAGCAGCAGCGCAAGGACCATGGTATTCGAGAGGACTACTCTTTAATTGAACCCTACCATAATTCAATTACATACCTTGACTCAGTAATAAATGCCGCAGGCTACTGAATCTTCACACAGAGACATTATATATTTTAAAGCAATTACTTCAATAAAAGGCATAATTCGAAAGGAAATTTCCGCTTTCTTTGTGTATGAACAGAGCGTAAAAAAAGGGCGAGCCTAATTTAATCGATAGCTGCCCTTGTGTTGTTCAAACAAGGCTTGTTCAGGCCCAAGAAAAGTGGTTACAGGGTTACAGCTAAATATTTGCCCTTGTTGAAGCCAAATATTTGGCCCGGAAGCAATTTCAGGCTGAGGACAAACACCGATATAGCTTATTTTAGTTTCTCATCGGTAAACATGTCTCAGTGCAGTGTCTTTCCGTCAGTACCCAGGTCTTTGGTAAGCGCGCAGTAAATATTCATAATTATATACCACAGAATCAGGAGTTGGCTCAGGTTTTACTCTGATCTACAGCTTTAGACGAAACGCAAGCGTGGCTTCAATATTATTCTCGCTATTCGTATACCAGTAAAACGCACCAATATTCTCATGAAAGGACAACAGGATCAGTTTAAGTGTAATTAGCCACCATAATCATCAGCTTATCTTCAAGGGCCCCGTCCGATATTTTTTAACACTCTTCAAGTAAACAAGCGCATCGTGTTCAGATTACCGCGATGATCACCGATGCCACATGTAACAGCGCTATACGAGCCCTGGGCGCTTCACAAGTTTCAAGAAACAATGCCTTCTTCTCTCCGGGCCTTTATGACATCTATGGGGACGTACTCGAGGTCGACATGGTGCATCAGTAATGCTGTTGAGAATCGATGCTACGGTGTGTCTAACAAGAACCAAGGAGTTACAATTAGTTTGCAGCAGCTGCCCGTGCTACTTGCTGTTCTTCGTCATTCAGCCCGCGAGTGTGCGCTTGAGAATTTGAAACTGTGGCGCGTAGCACAACTGCTGAATCGCTACGTATACTAACACAGGGTTCATACCGACATGGGCTGGTACGGCAACAGCAGCAGGCGGCTGAAGAAGTTGCGAAGTTGGAGTATCGGTAACCGGAAGAGTGTGTCGGCGATCACGACTGTCACGTGAGAATGTGAGGGGCACCCGGCGAAGAGGGTAAAGCGGCTTAGGCAGAGGAGACCAGCTGATTAACGGAGGAAAAGAAACAGCTAAACAATCGCAGTGTATTGATAATTAAGTGCATGTAAGCAAGCTATTGCGGCAGCGTTCCGAAAAATTCTCATGGCACGTGTTCACTGTAGACTACTCATGTACATCTACAACACCACACCTGAATTTCGACCTCTGGGTGGTTTAGGGGCCCTTTAATATGAAAAAGCTTGCAGGCCCACAAACGCCTCCTCTTTGTTCTTTCATTTTCACAGCCACATGAGTTAACTTTATGTCATCGTCTGCGTTTTATGCTTGCGTGTCTGCGTGTGTACGTGCTGCGCGCGAGGTTGACGCATGTGGGGCGCGTTCATTATTCGAGAGAATTCGGTGTGAATTTTGGTGCGTTCGACTTTAATGCAGCAGAAATTGAGCTCTTTTTTTCACATTAGATTTTATTGAAAGCTCAAGAGAAAGGAAAAATCTGTCAAACTTCGGACACATAGAATCCCCGTTGACGGGACAATGCGTATTCCGCGCCAACGACGTGATACTATATCCCATTTAGCTAGCGCCGGTTCCACTGAAGGGACTGCTAATTACAGCTACAACGAATTACAAATATGTATATCAAATAGTCACTGGTTTTTGTGCGTATTTCCAATTACTATGGGTATGCATGCCACTCACGTTGTTTCTTGCACTCGGGTGCTCGGCCACTCCAGCCACCGTCGCCCTGGCACATGCGCTCCTTGGGGCCGGACATCCAGAAGTTGTCGGCGCACTCGTAGTACACACGTGCCCCGAAGTAGTCGCCACTCACCCGGAACTGGCCGTTCTCCAGTGGCTCCAACTCGTCGCAGTTTAAATCTGCAAAATTCGTGCGTAAGCAGAGAAAGGACTGTTAGTCCTCGAGTGCAGCAATTCTACTCAGCTTCCGCCATAATCCCCGATGCCGCTCACAACAACGTCCGGAGAAATAGTTAATTAGTGCCACCCTTCACCACCAACAAAGGCTTTGGAAAAATAAAAGCAAAAGCTCGGAAAAATACTTCGCGTTCATTGCTCTGCGATCGCTTTACTTACGCTACTCGCATGCTGATGAACATGCCACTGCTTTCATCACTTCGCTTAATAAATAAAAAAAAGGCTCTTTAAAGCCACGTACCGTGATAACAGCGCTCAAGCATTATGAAATAAATATGGATGTCAGACGATTTAGAAATTATATGCCCATGGTCGGTTTTTGTTGTGGAAGCGTGCATTTACTCTCGTTTAGTGGAGCCATGAAGCTAATTTATTATCATTTTGCCCATATCTACAAATTACTAATTAGCGTTAATGAATTACCAATAATAATTAAAAAGGTAGTTATATCTGATATTACTCAATCAGTTTAATAAATGATGCACAATGAAGTTTTATTTTGTTCACCCCTGCTGCCTACCCATGTCAAGCCAAAGCTGCCGCTGTGCCTTTCTTTGCCGCCTTTAGCGTGTACTATATATACGTAAAGACTGCCGTCGCTGAAACATCTCATATTGTGGCTTAGCTGAAGATATCGCCTAACACAGCTATATATGAGGACTTTCGGCAACTTCACTCGAACGTCAGTGTATTCAAGTGTATCACGATAGGGATGCCATAGATGCCGTATATAGCTTTGGCGTAGCCAGAAAGAAAAGGGGCCGCCCCCGATTCCCCCCCCCCCCGAAATTTTTAATTTTGCATGAACAATCGTGAAAGTTGGTTGATCTTCCTGAAAAATTTCTGGCTACGTTCCTCCTATATACGGTATTATGATTTTGTAAGTAACAAGTGATCAGTCACAATGAAGGCCTATGTTGTTCCTCGTCAGTATATGTCGGCAGTATACATGATTTGGTGTACAAGCCACACTGTAAAAAGCGCACGAACAACAACGGAGAACATTAGGCATCAGTTCACCCAGGAAAATTAATCCCATATATGCGTTACGAAACAATAAAAGTGTGCTGATAATAAAAAAGGCTGGGAAGTTGACCATGACTAAGCCCTATCAGATAGCCAATTCACGCAGTAAGTCAAGGCAGCGTGCCTGAAGGTCGTTCTAATCATCTTCGCTTTTAGTGGAAAAAAGAATGTTTTGGGAGATCTATGGCGCAGCTTTTCTTTGACGAACCTATGAACGCTGCTCCCGGAGGGTCAAGCGGAACATGCAACCAGGAGCAAATTAGAGGTAGAAACACCAAAATAAAAAAGTTCTGGCAACTTCGGACTGGTGCCAAGCCCAAAGGAAGACCGCAGCTGGGCTGCCTTGTTTTTTTTAAATTTGTTTCTCTTTGTTTTGATTTCCTGTTCTCGTTTTTGTTCCTGTTACTGTATATTTCTTTTTTCATTTGTCTCTCTATTCTCTTTCTGGCTCTTTCTACATATATTTTTCTGTCTTTCCAATTTTTACTTCACATTCTCTCTTGCTCCCTGTTTTTCTGCCGTTTTCTATTTTCATATCTTTCTCCGCCTCTTTATTTCTCTCTGTTTCTTTGTTTCTCTTTATTTCTGTGTTCCTTTCTATTTAGGTCTTGGTCTCTGTTTTTTCGAACTCTTTTTCGATCATGTCTTTTTTTGTATGATCTTTCTATCTCTTTTTGCGTCTATCTATCTTATCAAGTTCTTGTTCCCTTTACTTCATTCTATTATTTTCTTGTCTTTCTTTCGTTCGCATTTTCTCCCCCCTCTCTCCCTCTCTATTTTTTCCTGTTTACATTTATATCTGTACGCCTTCTTCTTTCTAATTCTTTTCCGTGTGTCACGTGCAGCACTTTTTGTTTTCATTTAACGCTCGCACCTGCCGTACTCGTGGTTTTCCTATACACGGACACACACACAAAAAGAGTTTTTACGGCTGGCATTAACAGCTGCGCTGTTGAATAATCAAAGAGGGAAGGATGTGCTGGTTGCGTTCACCACTTCATAGATGCAGTGCAGCCATGACTGTCATGGGAATGGTGCGCGCCACTGAGAACGTACGTATGAAGGGAAACATCGACATAATGGACGCCGCACACGGTCCGGGCAGATCCTCAGCACCGTTACTCGCGTGTTCAAGAGCTGCGGAAGATGTCAAATATTCATGCACATCTTCTTTCCCCGTTGAAAGCTGCTGTAAATGAAACATGAGTTACCTGACCTAACTCAACACGAGGTCTAAGCAGCATTCCCCAGAACTAGTGAACAGCAAAGTGAAAAGTGTCATGTAGGGTTATAACATAAAAATCTGTTGACTTCGAATAGCGAAACGCCAAAACGATAATATCAATGACGGTGGTATGACAGTGACGACGTCAACGACATGAAGTCACTAGTGACGACGGCAAAGCGACGCATGCCATGGCGCAAGGGAAATCCTGACATAATAATCTCCTGAAGCTCCTACAAGTGATACGCTAACGCACTTTACAGAGACGTGCTATTATTCTAATTTAGTTTTCTCTTTTTTTATGAACAGCATTGTGCCTTGTCGATCCTTATTGAAACACGATATGAAAAATTATGCTTTGTAATAGCTTCATTGAAAGATCGTTCTCGCCAGATATGAGTCGATATATGACATTGCAAAAAAATTTAATAGCCAACAAGATATTTTCTATATATTAGCCAGCGTTTACATTTGCTAACCGTTCATATGTTCCAGGCGAGAAGCTAGAACCTCTACAATTTTGAAAGTTGAGTGCCGGCTCTCGATCAATTGTAAAGAAACGTGTAAAGAAACGAATGAAAAAGAACGCCTTCCCATGTAAAGCTGTCCAAGGGGCCTTCAAAGGTTAAAAGTATATGGTGATTACGATGACGCATCGGTGGTAGCTCCTCGTAGAGTTATAGTTTTTTTTTTTACAGAAAAAGTGTAGTGGGCCTTGAATTTCGTCACGAAAAAAACAAACACGTTAATAGATTACTGAAGTTAGGAGACATTCATTCAGTATTATGAAACTTGTTTCTTTCCTCTAACTGTTCAGAAGTACAAAATGCATTGTCCTCTAGTGAAGCTTCCGCACAATCATACAGAAAGAAGACAACAAGGAGCTTGTCTCTAAAGCTCCAAGGCCGCTGCAAGAAAATGTCAATACTTTAATTTCAATTTGATGATTTCAGTTGATGTGAATTGACGGTTTTTGTTTTTCTTTAGAGAGCGCGAAACAGAAACGAGCGTAACGGAAAGGAATAGACCAAAGCAAAATAAGGTAAATTAGTGTGAACGCCGAAAGAGTTGTCGCGTATACAGTGCGCAGTTGATTATAGCTTCTTTGTCTCGCCTTATAGGGCGTAATTAAGGTGAAATAATTACGGTGAAGTAGGAATTTGACCAAAATTGCTGGACCCTTTTCACTTGCCCTCTGCTTCGTGATTGGACGAAAATGGTGAACGAAAAGGCTTATTTTCCTGCTACTTTTTTTAAAGGCATGCACCCACGTTATCACTATAAGAAAGCTTGACATTCAGTTGAAATAAAAGTTATGAAATAATATGTGAACTCAGTCCTACCAAAGAAAGAATGGCACACCACACGCAGTACATTCAAACCCTCGTAATACACGCGTAGTGTACGTGTGCATTCACAAAAATACAAGAGTGGAGAAAAGCAAAATGAAAACAGCTGCGCTCATCTATGTTCTTTACCGAATTCGAGCTATGCAGTTAAGCATTATGAAAGAACTAGCCCAGCAACTAATTCTCTTACGATGCGCTCTATTACAAAGGAGGAAACGGAACGAGCGCTCATGGGCGCTGAATGGAGGCTCGTTTCCCGTGTCCCGCCTTGTTATTGTTTTGCCTCCATCTCGCATTACTTTGGAGCAGCACTTTTCGGCACCGCTTTTTCATTTTCCACGTAAAACCGGTAGACCAAATATATCCGAATTAAAAAAGGCAGAAAATGAAGGAAAAGCAAGTATTCCGCAAGGTGCACGTGCGAGCCTACAAGCTTTCGATGACGACACATACGCGCTTAGAACGAAAAATAGCATCGTCCAAACATGCAATGCGAGAGCATGGTTAACGATTGTACAAAAAAAAAGAATAACCAAGAAGAATGGAACGTAAGCAAGATGTTGCTTTCCGGCATTCCTACGTGCGTGTACGAGGAATTCCTCTAATGCAGAACTAACGAATGATTTCAGGATTTATTGGCTAAGCTAACACCCTGCAGATAGAAAATTAGAAACCGTGCGAGCATTGGAATACGGTTACTACACTTTCGGGGATCTCGACTTATATATCTCGAAAATAGTTCTGAAATTATTTCTCAAAAATCATAGGCACCATATTCTCTATAGATCCAGCAGGCGCTGAACTGAGAACTAAAAAGGAAGCATCTTCTAAGCATAGAACTATAAAAATACGTTGTGCAAAAGGTATAAAAAGTCAAGCAGAACCACCTTACAGATCAAGAAGCTTGAAGTATAGACCCTTATAGCAGATACCGTTGCCGGGTACGGGTGGTGTGTTCGCATACGTTTTTTTCTTATTTTCCACAAAAGCCATGCTTTTATAATTTCGTTTTGAGCGAGAATGCCATTACTACTGCTAGAGCTGCTCATTCCGCACCTTGCTTTGGCTTTCAGACTGCAAACACGCGGAAAGTCAAGATAAATGAATGGGCATGAAAACGAGTGCTTCCATATATTTTATTTCTTAGAGGGACAGGGACAAAATGTACTACACGGAAATCATGGCTAGCGGTGGAAGAATTTTGACCATGTCGAGGAATGCGTGAAGTATGGGATATTCCCCAAAGGTGGCATGGGAGGAGGTAAGAGACTGGAAAGAAGAAAAATGACCGGCTAGGAATGCCTTATTTTTTCACTGCTTTTCACCTACGTCCCGTACGGTTA